CCTCTCTATGAATGGGCTTTGCCAGTTTAAAAAACATCAAATCCTCTCCTCAAAAAAGAAAAACTTAACATTGTTGAAATTTTAAAATGTAATACAAGTTTTAATGAAAAACCTAGTATGTGCCAGTGGGCAGGAGTCACAGTAAGTGGTAGTATTCCCATCTTAGAGTTAGGAAAACTGGCTTCAGAGAGATTAAGTAACTTGTCCAAGGCCACACAGTCACTAAATAGATAAGGGGATTTATCCATTTATCCACTTACCTGCTCAGTAAAACAGGAAAAATGCCAGCGCTGTCTCCCAGGATGCTTGCAAACAGAATTACTCCCCTGGGGAAGGCTTCAGAGTGCCAAGGAGAACCCCAGGTACTCTGCTACCAAGGCTCCTGAAATGCCTACATGGGTGGACATGGCTTCAATGTCAGGGTGAAGCTGGAGACCCAGGAGGGGCAGAAAGAGCAACAGAAGCAGAAGTTTCCTCCTGAGGGGCTCAGCAACTATGACTCATCTAAGAAAGTGCAGGACCCCAGTTATACCCTTCCCAAGGGACCCTTCCTGGGCACATGCCCCCTCCCCATCTCAGGCTGCTAGGCTGAACAGATTTAGAACTCCTGAGAAAGGGAGACTTTTTTATTCCTAAGTAGAACAATGGGTGTTTCATGTCACATAATAAAGGAAATAAAGGACATTTTGCGAGGGAGGGGGGAAATGTATATATATGTAGGGGTATTTTAAATACTTTGTCCAACTAGGTTTTTAATAATAATATCATTTAGAATGAATTCACATTCTGATTAAATTTTTATTTCTATTTATCTTAGCATAGATTTGTGTTTGAACTTCTGTTTGCAAGGTCTTTTGAAAGGAAGGTTTTTAACTCTATTCTTCTCTCTCACCCCACCCTCCTTCCTGTTCACTGGTTTGTAGTTGACTTTAGGCAGCCCCTCAGGGCACCAAGTCCCACACCAAGGCTTAAATTTGGGGTTGAGGACCCCTGTGATATTGGGGACATCACCATATTAGTCACTGTGCCAGTGAGAAGGTTTATTTATTTTCTGGTACTGAGATTGTCTGCTCTCTCCTGAAGCCCCATGCCAAGAATCAGCAACAGCTCTTCCCTCAGCCACCATTTAAATGGGCTGTGGGCTCTCCACCTTGGTCTCTGGTTTCAGATATTGACTTTGGCTCCTACTTCCCATCCCCTTTCTCAAAGGAACAACTAATTTAGTCCCCATCACCTTTAGAGGCTGGCCTACATCATTGTTTTCAAACACAGATCCCTCCCCATCCATGGATTCAAACCTTTTCTCCAGTAATTTCAGTTTTTGTTTCATTTCTTGGCTTTAAGGGTATTTCTCTTACTTGTGAATACAACCACATCTCAATTTTTCTTTTTGTACTTAATTGTTGCTTTTGTGTGGAGTAGGGGAGAGGGGTTGCTCAAACAATGAACCCATAGAACCATCTTGACTGGAATTGTCCCCACTGAATTTGTCTTTAGAGATTTCCTTCAGGCATTTCAAATTTAACGAGTCTATGACTAAGTTCATTATCTTCTCTCACCAAAACCTGCTCCTCTATATTTACTTCAACTTGATGAGTGGTATAAAAATTGACCTGGCCTCCAAAATTAGAAACATAAGCTTCATTCTCAATTCTTCCTTTTCCTTCCCTCATCATTCCAAATCTGTCACCATATCCTATAGACTCTATTTCAACAGCAACTTCTGAATCCATCCATCCAGTCTGACCCCACTTTAGTTTAGAATCTATCATCTCTCTTGCCTGAGTGTCAGCTATAATCTCCCTGCCACCAACGTCTTTCAACTCAAGTTCATCTTTCAACTGTTTCCAGATTTATTTTCCAAACAAACAACCCTAAATCTCTTTAAAGACTTCAACTGTCTACTATCTGGACAATAAAGTTCCAAATTGTTAGCAGGGGTGATGGTGGATTGGTAGGTTGAGGCTGAAATGTATAATGTTAGGATGTACTGTGTGGCTGAAGTGTAGTGTTTAGAATGAAGGATACATGGGATTCATGTTTGTGATGTTCTTATATAATATTAGAGATGATCTCTGGTATGCACTAACACGCAGATGAATGAGGCATAGACGTAACTGTCTAAGGAGGGTGTGCTGGTTATTCTGGTTACTGTCAGATCCATTCTTTGCTCTTCTCTAGCTCTGTGTCTGAGAAGCTGACCTCTATTAACCATATCATCTGTGATGAGGTTTTGGTGATGGTGGGGTCTGGAGCCGATGGCCAAGAAAGAATTCTTGAGATGTCTTTGGTGCAAAAAGGTGATTTTATTAAAGCATGGGGACAGGACCTGTGGGCAGAAAGAGCTGCCCTGGACCCTGTGGGGAGACTGGTTATATACTTGGGAGTTGGGGGAGGTAAAGTCAAGGGGAAGTTTCCAAAGAGATTTTCATATGCTAAGAAGATTCACAGGATCCTGGAGACCTAGCTATTGTCAAGCTAAGGTTGTTTTTCCCTCTAGCAAAGCATTAACATTAAGACAGCAGGGAGTTCCTGGAGAAACGTTTTACTCTGCTAGCCTCAAGTAGCTGTCAATGGGCTGCGGGTTATAAGGAAATTTACTTTTATCTGCCATGTCCTTCTTGCCTTTGTTCCCCGCATCACTATGGAGGAGAGGGTGATGGTGGGGCTCCAGGAAACTGAATCTATAGGTTGCTGGAGATTAGGCTATTGATAAGGTTGTCTTTTTCTTACACTTTACCAAGATATTTGTAAACTGATGGAGACCCGTGTCATGAAGGAGTGTGATCTCTATTACTTAACCATTTGTTTTCCCCTTTCCTTGGGCAGTTGGGCATTCCTGAGATATATCACACGTATCACACCTGGGGGTGGGGGTGTTTGTGGCCTATCAGCTTGCCTTATGCTCCCTTATCTTCTGGACTTTCCTGTGCACTGGAGCCACCTCCAGGAGATAGAAGTGTAGGAGGAGATCTGGATAATTATTCCCTTCACTCTTCCCTGTTTGTCATCTTTCCTATTCTGGCAGTGTGGTAGAGCCCCTACCCAAGGAATGTGGTGGAGGCTTCCTCAGAACACGAGTCCATAACTTGGACTGTAACAAATCAGACTATATGTCATCATATATGGGAGACAAAGAGGTAGAACTTGCACAAAAGGCTATAGCCCGCTGTGCTCAGGACTCAGTTTTTCAGGTACCAGCCTGTGCCGGCATGATGAATAAAGTTGCTTCCTAGACAGAAAATCCTCAGTGTCCCATCTCTCTGTGAGAGAATTCCACTACATCTCTTGGGGGCTTGCATCTAGAATTCGGAGACAGTGGGTTTCCACCTCCTTTGTTATCAGGTGTGAACCTCGGAGTGCCAGAAGAAGCAACCTTGCCTGGTGCCAGCAAACCACTTAATCTGTAGGAGACCAGCCCCTCCTGGCATGCCTGGGGAAGGACCTCAGATGCACCACGGTACCAGGTGAAGCCCAAGAGTCAGCTCAGGGAGCGCCACCTGTCAGACTGGTGAGAACCTGGGTTCGTTTTGGTAGACCTGCCCATAAGAGGCAGAATGGGAGCCGATTACCTCCCAGAATTGCCTGAGTAGTTCTGTAACAAATCAAACCACAGCTCCAAGGCCCTGGGCATTGGGCAGTGGGTTGGGATTGCCATGTGACTGTGTGAATGAGAGGGATAGCAGAAAGGTTCCGACCTGACCAATGGGCCGAAGCGAGTGTTGAGTCCTAATCCCCGCTTCTGTGGCAACCTCATATGACTTAAGGTGGCGTCAGACTTCCTGGGGAGTCTGATCCGGGTTAGGATTTAATACTGAACCTTCCAATGCTAAGAGGCTCCAGAAATATCTTCAAGAATGGCTGGAAATGGATGAAGTGAGTGTGCATCCTCTCCAAATTAGTCCCTCCCTTCCCCCTTTTTCCTCTCTCATGTCCATTAGGGGAGGAAATGGGTGGATATGAGAGTAAACCGTCTCCCCTAGAGTGTACATTGAGAAATTTCAAAATGGAATACTCAGGAAATTATGGTGTGAAATTAACTCCCAGAAAGCTCTGGACATTCTGTGGAACTGGCCATTGTTCAGGTAGGCTGGCCCTCTGAGAGCTCACTTGATAAGGAACTAGTTGGCTATTTAGGATAGCTGTGGGTGATCCAGGCCACCCCAACCAATTTCCTTACATGGACTGTTGGCAAGATCTGGTCCTATCCAGTTACCTTGGCTAAAAGTCTGTATTGAAGAGACCTGTAAAGTTATGATGGCTCATGTCATGGCTTCCTCTAAATTCTGGCCAGAAACTGAAAAACCCATACCATTGGGAGCACCATATGCCCCACTGTACCCCTCACTGCCACCAGTGCTTCCAGCTGCCCTGGCTGCTGAAACCGCACTGGAGCCTGCCCCTTGTCCTGAGACCTCGCCACCTCTAGCACCATCAGCCTCTCTGGATGTGAATGGCTCACCTGTACCGCCGTTCCTAACCCCATACACCCCTCCCGGAAGGCAACTTAAAGATCAGGCCAGTGGAGACAGTCCCTCCCTGCAGCAACACTGGGGATCCCTACAGATGCCACAGAGGGAAACGAGGGGACCCATGATCAGGAAGGCCAGATCCGAGGAGGCCAGTGTTTTTGTATACCAACCCTTTACCACTGTGGACCTCCTAAATTGGAAGCACCATACCCCCTCCTATACAGAGAAGCCCCAGGCTATGATTGAACTAATGCAGTCCATAATTCAAACCCATAAACCTACCTGGACAGACTGCCTCCACCTCCTCCTGGCCTTATTTGACACAGAGGAGCATCGCCAAATTACCCAGGTGGCCCTAAAATGATTAGAGGAGAATGCTCCGGCTGGGACGCTAGACACCCAGGCTTATGCTCGGGCCCACTTCCCTGGGGAGGACCCCAAATAGGACCCAAATGCCTCAAGTGTAGATGGAGTGCTCATAACGACTGAACTAAATGGCATGAAAGAAGCGGGGGGAAAGCTATAAATATGAGTAAAACGTCAGAAGTGTTCCAGGGACCCGAGGAGAGCCAGAGCCAGTTCTATGAGAGGCTACGTGAGACATTTCATCTCTACACCCCTTTTGATCCAAAGGTGCCCATTAACCAGCAGATGGTCAATGTGGCTTTCATAGGTCAGGCCCAAGGGGACATCTGGCATAGCTGCAAAAGCTAGAGGGTTTCACCAGCATAAATGCCAGTTGAAAGGGCGGGCCTACGCCGGCCAACTCCATCTTGTTCTGTGTCCTTCACCTTGACCACGCCTCCTCCCCTTGAATAAC